CACTCAGAGCTGGGATGGGCAGGATGTTGGTACTAATGTGTATGATTTTTTTTATTTCAAAATAAAAGGAAATATGAATGATGAGTTTTCCTTTTTTCTTTTTTTAAAGCTACAAAGCACATGAGAAATGTTCTTTTTTAAAAAATCCTTCCAAGTTCTAAATGTAGAGACGCAACTAAAACCGGATTCTACAGCATTCTACAGAAATACACAGCCGCCAGTCACTCTGGGGTCGTAGGTTAGACAGGGGCTTGGTACACAAAGGCTGTGTGTCTTACAAAGGCCAAAGGTCATGCTACCAGGAGATCAACATCAACAGCAAAGTCCATGAAGCAGTCTGTAGAGAGAGAGACAGGGCCGGTCTGACCATTTTCTTTGACTTTAAAAACCAACCAACCAACAAACCCTACAACATTTTAACCACTCCAAGAGTAGTGCAAAGTGGGGTGTCCTTATTAGGGAAGCCCACCTCTGCCTTGTCCCCTGCTTCTGGCCCCGTCTGCCAGTCCAGCCCTCCCCAGACCACTCACGCTAGTCCGCGTGCCCTCTCTGGGGAGATCTGGCTTCAACTCTGCTAGGCGGTTCTGGGCAGTGGCTCACATGGTTCCTCTCCTCAGCTAATTGAAAAAGCTGACCGGGACACCCATCTCTCTAACATTTCTCTGTTCCCATAAATAAAGAAAACTCAGGAGACAGGAAGATTGATCAGAGCAATGATTCTTCTAGATTCTTGAAATAAACAACCACCACCACCCAAAAGAGAAGGGTCCTCCGAGTTTCCTGTTGTGGCTGTGGGGGAGGGGGATGTTAGAGTGTTGGCCATTTCTTAAAGGGTTTTGGAATCTGGGCAGGGGCAGGGCAGAGCTGAGCAGCCAGCCTTGTGATCAGATGTAGAGTAGGGCAGGCTGGATGGACGGAACCAGGTCCTCCTCTGCCTGCCCTGCTCGTGGAGTGGGTCTCAGGAAGTAAAACCCTGGGGCTGTCCAGAGGACTCCCACCCCAGGCTCCCACCGTGCCCTGTGTGAGTGTGTGCACGCACATGTGTGCACGCACGTGTGTGCATGCTCATGTGCTGTCCCGGGAAAACGGATGAGCTAGGGATGGTGGTCGGTTCTGTCCGTAGCTCTTTCCAGTATTAACTAAAAACAGTTTTCTAATATATACTTGTGTATAGATAAGGTTTTGTTATGCCTCTTTAAAGTTTATTTACCAACTTGTACTGGTTAGTGGTGTGTGTGTGTGTGTGTGTGTGTGTGTACACGCAAGCTGTTCTGTGAGTGCTGGAATCATTACCAAATAGGTTGCTATACAGGACAAGAGGTCAGTACAAGCCGCAGCCCCGGAGATTGTTGGCAATGATGATGTCGGTGACGGCGTCGAATACCACCTGGATGTTATTCGTGTCTGTGGCACAAGTCATGTGACAGTAGATTTCTTTGTTGGGTGAGCGGTTTTTGCTTTCAAACTGTGTTTGGATGTAGGCAGCTGCATCTTCATAGGTGTTGGAACCTGTAGGGAGACACAGAGGAATAGGCAGGAGGCCCTAGTGAGAGCTGGGGGTGACAGAGGAGTGGTTGGGATGTAAATGGGGTCGGCGAGAGAGGAAGGAAGAACAGGGGTGCCACACCCTCCCTCTCCAGGGTAAGGCAGCACTGGGAGGTAAAACCGTGAAATCTGGCATCGCCTGCCTCTGCCTCCTCAGGCTTTTACTTACTGTGTTGAGAAGCGCGATGGCCCTGGGAGGAGCCAGCCACAGAAGACCTCATTTGTTCTATATTAACAAATCTAGAGGATGCCTCTCTCCGTGGCCTAAAGTTGAAATCTAAATCAACCCATGACTCTTTGGTTATTGTTTCTTTAAATTTAGTTTTATGTGTATGGGTATTCACCTGCATGCATGTCTGGATAGCACCTGTGTGCTTATGTCTGCAGTAGCCAGAAAAGGATGTTGGGGCCCCTGGAACTGGAGTTACAGACAGTTGTGAGCTGCCATGTGGGTGCTGGAACCCAAACCCAGTTCTCTGGAAGAGTAGCAGGTGCTCTGAACCATCTTTCTAGCTCACTGGGGACTTCTTAAGATGTATTTTTATTGATGTGTATGTATATGTGTCTGTGTGAGCGTATGTACATGTGGATGCAGGTGCCCCTGGAAGTCAGAAGAGGGTTTTGGAGATGGAATTACACGTGGTTTTGAGCCACCTGGTGTGTGCGAGGAGCTGAACCTGGATCCTCTGACAGAGCAGGAAGCACTCTTAATCACTCAGCCATCTCTGTCTCCAACCCTGCAATTCTAACAAACCTGTAAATGAAGCCTAAGGAGAATGGCACCAAAGGGTCTTGTGTACTTCCGGTGTGGTGGGCACCAACTAGCCTGGGCTCTATCTTCAGGAGGTCCCTCCATGGACTGGGCCATCACTAAACAGTCTTAGTCCTGGGAGAGTGGCCAGGACACGGGGACAATGAGAGGCTTAAGGGATATCACGTGAGACATCCACTGGGCTCCTCCAGTGCCCCTAACGTTCCTCGTGTGTTCCCTTTATTCCGGCAGGCTGGGTGGTGATAACAGGGCACACCTGTGTGTGATACAGGCGTTTTCCAGCCAGCTACAGTCTAAGCTCCTGTAGATCTGCTCCGCAGGCGCCTTTTATTGAATACCATATTAATATGGACCATGACAAAAGTATGGAAAAGCCCTGAACGAGGGAGACTCCCCATTTCCTTCAGTCTGTCAGGGGTGGCCTAGTACAGAAACAGTGCAATGGTGTTCTGGGAGAGCGTGAGCCCAGGCTGGCTGGCCGGGGTGTGCACCATTGGAGGCACTGACAGGCACGGACTTTCCTTCTGAAACAAAAGATAGTTCCAGGCCAGAGTTCCTGTCTAGTGGTGAGCCAGTGTGAAGGCTGAGGGGTGGAGCATCCTCAGGTGGGGTCGGGGTAAGCCCCCTCCACCCACCATCACAGACCTATCGAGAGCAGAAGCCCATCCGGTGCCAAGCCACATCCAAGCCTTCAGAGGGCAGAGAGTGGCAGAGGCTGCCCTGTCGAAGAGCTTCCTGGCTGGAAGGCTCTAAGAAGAGCAGGTGGACTTCCAGATGGAGCGGCTGCCACACTGTGCCACGTCTGCTGAGCCTGGGGTTTTACACAGTCTCACAGCTACCCTGAAATGCTAGCCTGCCTAGTTTCTCAGACAACCACCTCCTAACCCTCTTCCTCTACTTGGTCTGCGTCCTCACACCCCGTGGTGGCATGACGTTTGTGACTGCTTCTTCTCCTTCCTGCTGTTTGAATTCAAACTGTATCCTGTGTAGGCCCCGGGGAACTGGGGACATCCAGCGGTCACTCTATAAGAGACTGACCACTCAGGCATTATTCCTAATGAGCCCCTAAGACAGCGCCTGGGGCTGTCGGGCCTCCTTACATAGCCACAATTTTATAAAAATCCTTGGGAGTTGGGAAGTTCTTGCTGAGGCTGAAGAAGGCAGCAGTGGCTGCCAAGAGCTTACAGGTAATGGCCTCCTGTGTTGGCTTTTGGGGGTGATTTCTTTTTGCACTTGCTCTGCCAACAGAGGGCACCTCCTCAGTTCCTTCAATACCATGACAGCAGTGACTAGCAGTTATGTAGACATGGCACTAAATACCAGTCTCTCTCACCATCCCTCTAGCCACTCTGAGGTGCCATCATGGTCTGCTATGGCACCCAGACGAACACGGGGTGCCACGGATTAAGTAACCGGCTCCCTCTGCCCCTTGCAATTTGCAAGTACTGCAGCACATCTCCGTATTGGCCGGTGGGTCCCCTCCTCCGCATGGCTAATCTTTGGTAGTGAAGAAGCTGGGTGAGACTGTCATCCACCTGTACCACAGTTTAGGACCCCCCTTGGCTGGTTTTGGGAACCTGTGTGGCCCTAGGACCTGAGTCCAGGACTACAGACCAACTTTGGGGCCATGTCAGTGAGTTTCAGGTCCAAGCAACATGTGCCACATCTGGAGGCTGGGGTACATCTCTGCCTTAGCAGGGGGTTGGTCTTACCCTCAATTCTGCCCCCAAGGGAACCCTAAAACTGTCCAGTCTTTAGAGGGTTGGGCTTGGCTTTGGCTTCGAATCAACCCAGCCTTTAGCCTTTCCCTCCTGGACCTGTTTGAAGTTTTGCTGGCATGGAGCAGGGGGCTGTCTGTGATCCATTCCTCTGAGGACCAAACAAAGTGGGGGAAAAAGGCCCAACACAAGCAGAAGAAAAGCAGGCAGGTGTGGAGGAAGCTCACACTACATGGAGTGGTTTGACCTGGGTGAAAACCAGCGGTTTTGTGTTTGGGAAAAGGTGGAGAGAGCTGGCATGATGGGGAAAGTGAGGCATGTCTGGGGCAAACTGGTAGAGAGCACAGGTCCCTGAGTCACCCTCCCACGCCACCAGCCTGCCTTTTTCTTCCACAAGGCAGTGGCTGTGCTGGGCCAAGGAGAGGAGAGGTACCTCATGAGGATTTGGAAGGCTCTCCAACTATGTCTCTAGACATCAGGGATGACCAGGAAGAAAGCAAAGGAACACAAGTGTCCTGTGTCCTGCCTCGATCCCTAAAGCATTCACTAGGACACCGTGGAAAGGCCATCGCCTACCCAGGGACATGTCCACAGCTAGCCATGTCTCGGTGCTTCTCCAATACGCTAACAGACTCCTGCACTGGCCCCTCGCTTTCCAGTTGCCCTGCCCAGCAGGCTGTCTTTGCAGCCCACAGGTTGGGGGATTCCAGTTGGTGTCTTTTGTAGGGGATGTGGGTGGGGGATCCAGGTCCACACCCAGGACTGGGGCTTTCGCTGATCCAGGGCTGTAACACCCACCTGGGTATTCAGGGAAGCAGATGGTCAGGGGCGACTTCTTAATCTTCTCGCCAAAGAGGTCTTTCTTGTTGAGGAAGAGAATGATGGAGGTATCGATGAAAAACTTGTTGTTACAGATGGAATCGAAGAGCATGAGAGACTCGTGCATGCGGTTCTGCAGCCCCGGTGGGGAGGGGAGAGAGTGAGACAGAGAGAGACACACAGAGACAGGGAAGAGAAGAAGAGAGTTAGGTGTAAAGAGAGACTGGGTCGTTCAGCACCCAGGAGGCCCTGGGCTCCAGGCTCCTCCGTGAGGTCAATGGATAAAGCCTGTAGTTGGGAATGCATCTGATGCTAACACGCCAAGCACCCACCATTCTGGGCCAGTGGGAGACTGGTCTGGGAGCCGGCTGTGGCTCCCTGGATGAGGCTGAGGTTAGGAGACCCAGGATCAGAATGGCAGAGCCCCAAGCTGTGTGCTTGTCTCCCTAGAATGTGTGTGAGCACAGTGCGGGACAGGAGTCAGGGACCTGGGCTTTGACTTTATCTGCCCCTCCCCCTTTTCTTCTGTCCAGTCAGGCCTCTTTCATGGGTTGACAGGTGGGAGGGTACACGCCAGGAAGATGGGGTGACTGCTACTAGCATCCTTGAGGGTGGCCACTCAAGGAGTGTGTGAGGCCATTTTCAGGGATGGGGCTAAACCTGGCCTACAAGGTCTGAGGCATGGCGAGAGGAATTACTATCTTGTACACAGAAACTTGTAAGTGGCTGAATGTGACGGACACCCAGAATAAAGCCCGACTTTCGTGAGAATGACCTTTCACTCCAGGTAAAGGCCAATTGTTTTACTTTAGAAGCCAAGCACATTCACCTGTTTCTCGTTATAGGGAGCCTGTTGCTCTGTTAGTGAACCTCTCTGCAGAGAGGTGTGGAGAGAGGCACTTCTCCTAGTGTCCCAGGTAGTCTGTTCTAGTTTTGGAAAGCTCGTTACCTGAGTCTGAACTCAAGCTCTGAGAAATCCGCACTAGCTCTCTGGCAAGTAAACAGAAGGGCAGAACGAGTGTGGATGGTGCTGGACATTGCTGAGGCTCATGGACCTGGGGCAAACGAGCAGGAGCTGGGTTACCTGCAGGCCTCGTGGCCATTCTGCCTTCCCCTCTGAGCAGGAGCTAAGATGGCAGAGTGACAACTGCTGGTCCTGAGCCCCACCTTGTGCTCAGCACTCTATCTGCCTAAGGTCCCTCAGCTCATCAACCTGTAGGGGGCGAGTAGCTGTGACCCTGAAGAGCAGAGGGCAGTGTTGGGAGATGTGGCTCAGTAGGCAGAGTGCTTGCCTAGCATGCTGGAGGTTCTGGGTTCCATCCCCTGCTCTGCAAGAAAGCAAAAGTAAACCAGAGCAGACAGGCACTGGGCCCTGAGCCCCACCCAGAGCTTCTTGGGCCGTTTTTCCAGTTAGTGTGGTAATCTGGCCTTTCAAGAAGTCATCAGGGCTGGCTCCTTGCCTTAGGGTCAGCCCTGTCTTCCGTCATCTCTCCCAGCCTGTGAACTCTGTTCTTAGGGCCGACAGTAATGTGGGGTTCACAGCCCGAGTTCTCAGCTGCTTCCCACATCCCCTGGACAACAGAAAAAACATAGTGCCCCCTTGTATCTGCAGCCAATTACTGTCCTTTGATTCTGCTAAGCAAAGCCAGTGACCTCCATTCTTATTCTCCCATAAAGCCTCCCTGTCCTCTGCACAGGACTCACGTGCCACCTTGGTGGACTCTGCTCAGAGAGCTGTGCCATGCGCACCTGTATTCAGAACCTAGCATCGTGACACCTGCAACCGATACGACAGCAGGGAAGCTCTGAGACGCCAAGACTTCAAGAGGAAAACATCCTACAGGGGCACCAAGGCCTATAGCTGCCAATGCAAAACCTCAACCATTGCACATTGTCCCAAAAGTTACTGGGTCTCCAGGTGGTGGTGGACACAGTACAGACATTTGGGATGCTAAGGACCAGAGAGAAATCACAGAGGGGTCACCAGAGTTGTTCAAGCTAATGTTGGGTGCCACTTGCTATGGACAGGGCTGAAGGACTCCTCAAGGGTCGATATGCCTAGGTTTGGAAGACTCAAGAACAATTCACCAAGGTTCCTGGATTCCCACCTTCTGAATCTCGGCCCCACACAGTCCCTACCCCCACACTGCAGTCCACTTTTAGGTCAGTGGTACCTTGTGCGTTAGCAAGGTCTGAGGTCCTGGGGAGCAGCACGAATTAGCCGAGATTCTGGCGTCAATGGACACACACAGAACTCTGAGGGATGGGGCATGCAGTAGGGCTGGACAGAACTCCGGGAGGGCAGTGAGCAGGGAAGCTCCTGGGGGAGCGCCGGTACTGAGACCCTCTTCATGCTCAGCCTGACAGCCACCCCTCAGGACCCCATGACCAACATGCCTGGAGCACAACAGCCTGTACTCACAGGAGGAAATAGACGCCAGGTACATTCAGAGCAGACATCGCCAAAATTGAGAAAAGAGAAGTCAGGGATCACAGATGGCCAACAGCCACCTGCCTGCCATCGCTTTCGCACGGAGCCACTGGAGCCTTCCTGAGGCTCAATTCCTCCCAGTCCTCTACCTGCCCAGGTGGCAGCAGAGCTGAGAACAGAAGGAAGCCATGTCACAACGACCAGCACCCAGCACCAGATCTTGCGCCTTGGCCCTAGGGATCTTGAGACACCAGGTGCTAGGGTGCTAGGGCCGTGGGAAGCAGCTCAGCACAGGACGGATCCGCCCCTGCCTCACAGCAAGCCTGGAGTGAGCAGGGTGGCCAGTGGCCCGAATCCTGCTCCCAGCAGTGCTGTGCCTACTCTGCTAGACTGCCTGCAGTCCCGACACTGGGGAGGACAGGAGAACCAGTCGCGTAGGTTTATCTGGCAGAAGCTCCTCGGCACTGACACAACACATCACACTCGTGCTAGAAAGAGCTGGCACTTTTTATTAATGGTGGGTGACTAATAAATACATTGTGGCAGCCAATAAATTATTACAGTAACTAGGTATTTATTAAATCAGCAAGTCATTCTTCTTACAAAATGACAGTTAATGAGGGTAGGTGATGGCAATGGGTCAGGAGGTGGGGCCACTGCACCTAAGGCTCTGCTAAGGGGAAAAGAGGGTACCCGGCCTGTGGCCTGGGACTAGAAGGTGTGCATAGGCCACATGGGTCAAGTCAGGAGTCAGGAAGAAGACTGGGAAGTGGAGGGCTGCTGCCCACGCAGGGCAGGCAGCTGTGGCTGGTGCAAGAAGCTAAAGGGGAGTGGGGAGTGGGCAGAGAGCCGCTGGGAAGAGCAGTGTATCTGCTGGTGGCCTTTCGTGCCTGGGTAGCCTGCTCCCACTAGAGGGCTCAGGACTGGGGATAAAGGCCATTGCTTCTGCTTTCCTTCCACCCGCTCCCTCCTTGACATGGCCATCATCTGGCATGGTCTCTAAGGCCAACCCCACTCTCTAAGCAGGTGTGGATAAGGCTCTTCCTCCTGAGGGGCGGGGTGTGGGGGAGGCCTGCTTACACCCTGGGTCCTGTTCTTTGGGATGCTGGGCCTTTCTTTCTCTAGCTTGTAGCCTGACAGGATCAACAGCCTGGAAGGTGCTTGCCTCCAGTAGTCAGTCTGGATCTCCACCAAGAGCTGTGGGGCTGCCTCTGATGCTTACCAGGAGGCTCAGAGAGAAGTGGTGGCAGCTAGAAGATTCGCCGTACCTCAGAATCCTCAGAAGAGGGTGGCAGGCTATGACTGGGCCAGGAGGGGGGCAAGATCTGGAGGCTTCATGAGTCTCTCCTGTGTGTGGTAGGTCTCCTTGTCAAGAGGCTGGGTCGGATGGAGAAGGGGAGGGGGGTCAGGAAGAGAGAGAACCCTGCCCTCAGAGTACCGGCTGTAGCATGTAGTGTGGGGGTACCATGGGTATACCAGTTACAACAGTACTTTCTGAAGAAGGTAAGGGCTGGGGTGAAGCATTGTCAGCCCTCTCTGCAGGAGCCTGTAGATAGCCAGGTTCTGGGGTTGAGGACTCTCAGTGATAACCAGTGCAGTCCACACAGGTCAGATGCCTTCAGTTCCCAACAGTAGGAGGCCAAAATAACGAAGGTCTTTTGCCTGGTCCAAGAGGATCCAAAAGGACAGGGCACCAGGATCTAGGGACTCTACAGAAGGGATCATGGGGGGCTGAAGGCTAGAGCTACTGGGAAGTGGCTTAGACTGGGAGGAGTCTATCTTCACCCCCAAATCAGAGTTCAATACAGTACCCTCCACAACTCAGACCAAAGACTTGGGGGACCTCTACCCATGTTTAAAGGCAAGATTCTTGGAATGGTCACGGATACAGGCACAGGACTGGCCCACGGGCAAGAGGCATGGTCCCACGAATGTGGTGAAGGCACTCTTCCTGGGAACTGGCTCCTGGCCTGCTGAGTGAGCATTCAGAGACTGTAGGATGATCACTGACATGGCCACTACAGACAAGAGACATTGCCCTGGTCTGGCCACTTACAACGCTTCCCCCACACCCAGAGCCACGACGGAGCCACGCCTCATCTAATATCCACATACCACTCCCCCATGGTAGAACGGCTGGTGATGACACAGATGAGAGGTGGACACTCCCCTGCAGACCGTGTTCTTGAGGGCCTACAGTAGACAGCCTAAGACCGCGCTCTCTGGGATGGCCAGAGCGGGAGGGCCGAGAGCAGTGCAAGACACACATAGGAGCCGGGAGCTACTGCACTGAAATGATCTGAGGGAAGTGGGAACTGTGTGGTCATAGGAATGGTGACTTCTATCTCCCCGGAAGTGGTCTTAAAAGATGGAGCTTGGCCAACATCCCTTGATTGCAGGTGTTTTTAAACTTGGGGTTAGTCTGGGGACACAGGGGGTCACACACAGTGGGGCCAATGACTTAATCGGCCTTAGCCACCACATCAGGTCACCGAGACCGTGGGCTCCAGGAGTCTGGCACAAGGTTCTCAAATGATGGCGGTGTACACAATGTGGGTTGAGGGGGAGTGGCAAGACAGTCAAACTGGGGTGAGCTTCCTAGAGGATCACCCCTGCAAGCATTTGGCACTGGGGAAGGTTCCTGTGTCTCCCTGGACCACCCAGAGTTATGTTCTTGTTGGAACCAACAAGCCCAGAGCTGTTGGCATGGCCAGGGGGACTGGGAAAGAGAGCCAGGGTCCTGCCTGGCCTGGGGCTGAGCACTGTTCAGAGTGGAGGTCAGGAGAACACAGGACTTGAGGGAGGCAGAGACCCTTCTAGGTTAGACCTTTCCCCACTGCTCTGTGGACACACTGGCACCCCTAGGTACAGCCAGTGCCAGGAGCACACGAGCCTGTCTCAACCACCGGCCATTGCAGCAGCTGACAGGAAAATGTTCTGACTGTCCGAAGTCAGCCAAGGCTAGGGCTGCCAAAACCATTTCACCCCCTTTTCTTAGGAACTTCTGCAGTAAAGTCCCTCCCTGGGCTCCTAGGGCTCTTTCCCCCTAGGGGGCGGGGTATATGTCTGAGTTGGTTTCTACTCCTCCTAAGCGCACACTCCAGGGTGTGCTTGCTTTCTGCCCCTAGAGCAGGAATATACCAAGGGTTTCCTGCCTTCTTGACCGAGGTGGAGGAAAGCAGGGCGTTGGCTTCAGGGCTCAGTCTCCTGTGCTTGCCTGAAGAGCTTCCAGTCCCAAGCTTGCCTACTCTGGCTGAGACCTGAAGAAAAGGGCAGCTGAGCCTGTATGAGCAGAACCAGCAGATGGCTCCTTCAGGACTTAAATCAACCTGTGCAGGAAGGAGTTGCCTGCCCCCTCAACTTTCCTCCCCACCCTAACTTCTGGGGCACAGGTCTTGTTTCTCCACCAAGGCTCTTTTGTAATTGGCCAGTCTTAAGGAATAATCCCAGGTTCATGGGAGTCAGGGCTGAGTTTTCTGGGGAGTCTAAGGGCAAGGCAGAGAAGGGCCAAGATCCAAGGTGAATGAGGAGGGAAGCCCTCCCCAACGTCTGAGTCTTTGCACCCCAAAAGTGGCTTGGTTATGTGTTGGTGTTTGGCGACAGAACTGCCCTCTACCAAACAGACCCTAAGGAAAGCTGAGAGATGGCATCTACTGTCCCCTTATCAGCCAGCACCTGTCACAGGGCCATCCTGCAAGCCACCCTATCACCTAGGGGAAAAAGAGACACAGGCCTTTTAAATAGGAGGCACAGATACAGGACATGACCATTCTGAACCAGATGGCAGCGTTGCTCACTCAGGCTCGGAGTAAAACACTTAAGAGACATGGTTGGCCGGCGAGCAACACCCAGGTGGTGGGCAGCATTTCCTGCCTTGTGTGTGGTGCTCCACACCTCTGCCCAACCCTGTTCCCATGTGTCATGCAGCCAGAGTGGGGTAGGGTGGGGATGCTCAAAGGATGCCGCCTCCTCCCCCAGGCACAGCCTCTGGGATTTTCTTCAGTGCACAGAGCATCCTAGTGGTGGCAGAGCTCTGGATCCAGGGGAGAAGTGAGCAGCAGGCTAGGCAGGAGGCCAGGGCTCAGTAGAGTCCACAGCCCCGCAGATTTTTGGCGATGATGACGTCCGTCACAGCATCAAAGACAAACTGGATGTTGTTGGTGTCCGTGGCACAGGTGACATGGGTGTAGATTTCCTTGTGAGCTGATTTATTCTTACTCTCATACTGCCCCTGGATGTGAGCCACAGCTTCTGTGAAGGCACTGGGGCCTGCAAGATGAAACAGTCGGTGAGGGGAGTCAGCTGATGGAGAAACCCTGGAGTCGCTCAGCACGGAATCCCTGGGCTGGCCATTGTGTCATTTAGGCCAGTGGCCATGGAGCAGGTGCCAGAATCCTCCTCAGGACCACTAGAAAGCAACAGGCCTATATACGGAGTGGAAGCTTTAGGGCTCAACTCCAGCTGACGGTTGGAACCTAGAGCAGCAACCTCCCTAGGGGAAGCAACAGACTCCGCCATCCCAGTGACTGGCTGACTGAGGTGGGGGCTGCCTGAGAAGCTGCTGTTTTCTCCCCACAGGCCTACTCACTCCAGATGCAAAGTCTGTCTTGCTACAAGCTGCAGGTGGGACAGAAAGCACTGCTTCTAAGCAGGTATTTCCTCTCTATGTGCCCATGAGTCTGCAGAGAGGGCCAGAACCCGCTTGAAACTGCAGGTAAGGTAGGAGGATCATGCATTCTGCCTGGCATCTGTGAGCCTCTGCGGGCTCCTCCCCTTCTCCTTGATGCTGCCCTCTGTTCCCTCGTAGCACAACTGATCTGGTTCCCTGGTAAGTCCAAGGAGAAAGCACTGGCTTGGAGAAAGATAGAAAGGTAGAACTTCAACTCTGCATGGAAACCCTCCACGACACCCCCCCCCCCCCCCCCCCCCTCCTAACCTCTCACGGTGAGCCTAGATCTGACTCTCTCCATTTGCCAAGGGATGAACATGAAGAGAACTGGAATTGGAGCCACAGTGCAGAGCTGGGGGTGGCACATCTGAAGGGAGAGGCCCAGTCACCTCAGGCATAACTGCGTAGACCACAGCCTGGCCATGAGCATCTACAGACCATAGCTGTTTGCTAGGCCAGGGCTGGAAGTAAGTCTAGTGTCCTCTCAGTTAGGGGCCTCCTGCCTTGACTCAGTTCCAGCCCTCAAGGGTGTATCACAGGCCATCTCACAGCTGGAGAAGAATCTGGCTGGATGGTGAGGGGCTAAGTCCTGTTCTCCTCAGTTAAAAGCTCTTGGGGTTCTTGCCTACAAAATGACCAGTAGGAAGGGTGGGATGTAGAAAGCTATGCTGCTTGCCTGACTTCAGGCCACGACCCCACAGGCCCATGCTGCTAGAATCTGTATCTTCTGCTCTGTGTCCTCCAGGACCTACCTGCTGAATCGAGAACAGCTGACAAAGACTGGGTTGTCCTGGGCTCACAACAGCCCACCCAACAGGGCTGTCAATCTTGAAGCTCCTCGGGAGCCCTGGTTAGGTTGCACATCTGGCTCTCTAGCTCAGATCACTGTAACACTAACAGTTGGCCTATTGTTCCTGCACTTTCTGCAGCACAGGCAAGGTCCTGCTGCTGGTCAGGTTCTGTCTCGCCAATGGGCTAGGACAGTCTTGTGGCCACTTGTGCTGTTAGAATGGCTGTCTATCATCGTGATCATAGACGTAACAACAGATCTGTAGTGACCACAGACTTGGAGCAAGTACCATGCTTTGCATAGCCATGGGCATCTATAAGACTGTTTATAGGAGACCTACAGGGAGTGGGGAAATAGCCACTGTGACAGCCCCCATATCTCATGGTTAGAGAAGCCAATCTGGAGAGGCTATGTGACCTGCCTAGGCCACTCTCCAGGGGCTAAGTTGGGGTTGGATCCCGCTAGGCTACCTTACTTGAAGATCAGGTTTGTTGTCTTTTGACATTGTGGGTTCCCAATGTTCACGCACCCTCTGCTTATAGACATGTGCCTGGAGTTCCCTAGGGTGGTTACTATTACACTGGAGATGGAGATGAATCGGGGCTCCAGGACCCAGTTGCCCAGGTATTCTTATCATAGCTGGCTCTAGTACAGTTCCTTGAGGTGGATTCTGCAGGCTGAGCTGGGTGCACTAAAGCACAGTAAAGGCCCAGAGAGACCTGGTTCCTTGGCTGCCCGTAGCTGCAAGGGGCTGTGTGGAAAGCGAAGGGCTCTACCTGTGTATTCAGGAAAGCAGATGGTCAATGGGGACTTCGTGATCTTCTCCTCAAATATGTCCTTCTTGTTGAGAAACAGGATGATGGATGTGTCTGTGAACCACTTGTTGTTGCAAATGCTGTCAAAAAGCTTCAGGGATTCATGCATGCGGTTCTGCAACAGAGTGGAGAGGCAGGTGAGGGCTGGTGGTACCCAACACCCTGACCTACTGTGGCTATGACATAGCAAGACAAGCAGAGGGATGGGCCACCAATGCTCTTAATGCATTATTGGGGACAGAGACAGAGGGCCCACAAGAACAAACAGGACATGTCCCTGCTTCATTCCACACACAGGCAGGTTTGGGTGGAGCTGGGGTGGATCAGGAGTGCTGTCCCTTCCAGAGAGAGCTAGCCTGGGCGGGGCACTGAGGTCACTGCAGAGGCTGCAGTCCCTGGAGAGGACATGCACCATGCACATAGAGGGCAGGGGTGCAACCATCATCCAATATGTCTACACGAAACTGTGGATCATGCAGACTTCTCTACCATGGTCTCATTCATTTTTGCCAGCGAGGTCAGGAGGGTGCACGCATTCCGTTGGATAACATTAACCGAGGACTGAGGTCCTCGAATTAATCCCGAGTTGGAAGCAGATGCCAGGGGGACAGCGTCTCAGGGGTGATGTTGCTGTGGCCTTGGCTGTTTGGGTGACTTTGTTGGTTGACTGGGCTATGCCTGGGCTGAGGGAAGCTCTCTCTGGGAAAGCTGGGAGTTGGGGCTGGTTTCTCAGAAGAGGGGCCAGGAGAACCCCAAGAAGAAACTCAGCAAAATAGATTGAAACCGAGAGGAAGCTAAAAACCCAGTAGAGGAGGAAAAAGAAACCCTGAAAAATTGATCCAATCAGTCTCAGACCCAGGGAGTGCAGGGCAGCTATGCGAGGCACCTACACAGGCCTCAGCTGCCTTGTGATGGGCAGGCGCTGCAGCTGGGAGGGATGGAAGGCTGTGTGGAGAGGGTGGCCTCAGCTCAGAAGCCAGCATAGAACACAGGCCTGGGGCTGGTATTCACAGCAAAGTCACCCAGCGGAGCCCTGAGAACCTGCTGCTTTCAACTCTTAGCTCATGTTTGATCAGAGGGAAGTGCTTCATACCTGCCGGGCTTGGAGGGTCTCTCAGAATCTGCCCATGGTTTTGGCCTTGCTTTGGTAAGAAAAGGCCTTGCAGGCGATGGTGGCAGTAGTGGTGAAGTTGTGGCAGCCTGTGGCCCGGCTGAGTGATGCTGAGAGCAGGTACGAGGACAAGATGAGCCCGTGGGGTCCCAGGGTGCAGCGGGCAGGGTGGCTGGTCCGGTGTTGGGCAGCCACTAGCCGCAGGGCCTTCCTGGCCTAGCTCCAGGAGCTGTCTCCAGACATCTTTGTCTCTGTAGCCCCAATTTTCCTCCCCAGGCCAGGGAGGGAAGTGCAGAGCTGGCTAGAGGGGAAGACTGAGGACCAAGGACTGGGTCATTGGTGCCTACATCTTGCCTCTCTAGGGAAGAAATCCAAACTCTACCACCTGTCCTCTGGCTACAACATCTGGACAGAGGAGCAGAACGCTGTTTCAGCTCTTAGCCCGTCACCCCCTTCCCATGCCTGAGCAAGGTGTGGTGATTACGCACGATCACACAGGTGGCAGGAGTGATGCCAGGTCTTGGGCTGAATCCATCTGACTCCCAAGTTGTTCAGTTCACACACACGTTCCCCACACAGCGACGACTGCTAGTTCCACAGTAATAGTATGGTTTGACTGTCACTATAGCTCGGAGGCACTGCTGTGGCCTGCTGGCAAGGTGGAAGGCAGCCCCTGTTCCCTGGAGGTGTGGTGCTTTCCCTTGGCTGTTGGGTGGCCAGCCCCGGGGAGAGAGAACTCTAGGAAGAGCTCATTTCTAACTTTGGCCCATTTGTTTTTCCTACCTCAGAGTTCCTGCCTCCAGCTTTTGAGGCACGGAAATGCAAGGGAAATGGGGAATGAGCTAGAGGCAAGGGAAAGGCTAAGAGAGCAGTAAGGTTAGGAAGGACACTGGGGGGAAAGTGTCTAGGTGCATAGGAGCAAGGCTGGTGAGGAGTTAAGGGGAAGCAGGTAGGGAGCCACCCCGACTTGGAGACCTGAGGCCACAGGGCTTGGTACCCACTGGACAGCTATGCTGTGCTCTGGAGATTACTGAGGGTCTGGCCCCACAGCTGATGGTCCTGGGCCTTTGCTCTGGCAGGGCAGGTTCAAAGGAGAGGCCATGCTCCAGTGTGAAGGATCTCCCACCATCCAGTCTCCACCTCCTTGATTCTTTTCCAATACTGGTGTGATGTAGCATCTACTCGCAGAACAGACAGGCCACAGGGAGCAGGCACAATGGCTCTCATAACACAGAGGCACCCATAGCGGGGAAGAATGTACTGGGCCAGTCATTCTGATGGATGCACTAACAGGAGACTGTCCTGGGTTTCGGATAGTCATAGAGTCTGGAGTTAAAGAGTGGTCTAGGCCATGTTTTCCCCACTCCGTACTGGGCCTTGGGACTAGACCACTGTCTGCCACAGTCACTGAGAGTGACAGCTCTGAACCTCAGCCATCACAAGAAGAGCCTGGACCACCCCTCCTACCAGCAGGTTGGCTTTCATCTGCCAAAAGTCTCATCATTCAGTGTGAACTACTCAGGACGACGGGTCCTCCTCTACCAGCACTGTACCCCCTCTCAGCACAAAGCCCAAGAGCTCATCCACCCCTCCATAGACACCAGTAATGACGGGACTGGGACTGGGAAACAAATTGGACTCATAAGGAAGACAGGCCTTGTTCAAGGACAGCACAACCACAGGCCCCTCCTCTGACCCTTGGTGCTGATCCCAAAGGCTCAGGGTGAAGCACTCCTATTCCAGATAGGAAGGCAGATGCCAAAGTGTGAGTCCACAGCCATGAACCCCACTCTCAGAAGTGGGCTTGTCTCCCATGACCCAGTAGGATATCCTTGAGGCCTGGTCCCTTTCCAGGCTTTGTGGATAGGCCCACAGACTTGTGGGCTGATGGGAAAAGCTCAGCAGATGTACCTGGCTCAGGGCAATACTATATATACCGACTGGCCGGGCACTGTTAAGCAAAAACGCTTCCATGACCAGCAGCCTTAGACAAGGCAGGTGGTATTACTGTCCCCACTTTTCAGATGACAGGAACCCAGCCAGAAAGGGTGCTGCCTGAATTTAGCTCATACCAATGAGCAGCAGAGACAGGATGAGGCCAAGGGAAAGGCTGACAAGGAACCTCTCAAGCCAGGTGGCAGGTCTTGGAGGCTGAGAATGACACAGAGAACCCAGGCTTGTCACTCCCAGTATGCCTGTTTCTCGGTGCCCCTCTTGGCCAGGTAGCCCCACAGCTATCCAGCTGGCCAGAATCCCAGGAAGGTCAGAAGAAGCTAAGGCTGCCTTTCCTGCTGCACCCACGCTCTTGCTTGGCTGCTATCTGGCTTTGTAGATTTTGCTTAATTTTTTTCTGGTCTGTCAGCCCCGTGTGACTCCACTGTTTACTAGCAAGGTGTTTACTGGTCAAGACCCTGACGTTGATAAGTTATCTGCAGCACATTTGAATACAAACTTCACTGGGAGCCCCCAGCTGCCTCTGTTGTACTGGCATGACTAGCATCTGCCTTGACAACACAGAACGCGCGAGGATGCCTGCCAGAGGCCATCTGTGAGGCCTGAGAACTCTGAACGTTGGCTTGTTCTATGGCCAGCGTTCCCTTCAGGTCACTCACCGTGGTTTCGTCCTCGTGGAGCACCTGGTCATAGCCGCTGAGTGCGACACAGAAGATGATGGCCGTGACATCCTCAAAGCAGTGGATCCACTTCTTGCGTTCAGATCGCTGGCCCCCAACGTCAAACAGCCTGTAGAAAGTCAAGGGAAGCTATGAGGGCGGGGATACCTGTTATCTAGTCAGGAGAATGCTGAGCAGTGGGGATGCAGTACCCCATTCTGAGCACCAACAGACTGACAGATGAGCCACTGCTACCCCTGGGTCCTGAAGGCAGCTTTCATTACCCCTGAGACCTATCCCAGGACTGAATTTGTGCAAATACAGTGACTCAAAGACCTGCCCCACCTTTTGGCCTCTCTTCTAGATTCACCTGATATCAAGAAACCACACCTGGAAGACAGCCCAGGGGTCACTAGGCCTGAGCCCATGTCTCTTGGGAGACAAAATCTTCCAGTACGGCTCCAGGAACCTGGCAGTCCAGTTCAGCCTCCTGTTCTTTGGCCTTCAGAGCCCCTGGATCCTACGTTTGTTCTGCCTCTGGGAAAACCCCACTTCTGGAGGTTCTCTGTAACGCGAGAGGGGAGCTGCCCTCTCAGCCTCTCTGGTCTGAGACTGTGGTGATGCTTGGGTCTCCTCACCTGATGCAAGCTTACCCATCCTGTCCCCTTCCAGGGCCTCTGAAGTAAGGCACCTGCTGTTTTCAGCCTTTAAACTCGGCAGAAAACAAGTTCTCAGATGGGCTTCTGCTATCTAGTTGTCTGATCACATGAGGGAGATCCTCGAGGCAAGACACTACTCGACTATCCAGATGAGGTGGATCAGGGCATGGACACTCTCCCATCTCTCTGCCGCATCACCAGGCCCGGCACTAGGGCCTGTCAGCAGGTCCCATCTCCTTAGGCCTCACCTGAAGTGGAGGTTCTTGAATGTGAAGTGGGTTTCTACAATGCCGGTGGTTTTGACCCTGGTTCGGAGGATGTCCTGCTCAGTGGGCTGGTAGTCAGCGGCTCCAATCCGATCCAGGCTGTCCAGGTAGCTGGGGGTGACAACATACAAGAGTCCATGAACCTGGGCCCTGCTCACTATCTCTGGAACCCAGCATCTGCCATAGCTTTTGCAAGGTTGACTGTGGAGCACTTAGTCAGACAATGTGGGGACAATCAAAGGAAAACTTGAGGGTCTTAGTCTCTAAGGTCCTCAAATTCAGACTCAAAGCAGCAACGTGTGTAGACCCAGCTACCCTGGGCTGAGACTTGCCAATGAGACTGCCAGGATCACAGCACAGTTCTGTTATATCTTCATTTGAAAATAATAATGGCCAACAGGTATGATCTATTCTCTTAAAAATATATTATGTGTATGGGTGTTTTGTCTGAATGTATGTCTGTGTACCAGAGGCCAGAAGAGGGTTGCAGATGCTCTGGAACTGGAGTTACAGACTGGTGTGAGCTGCCATGTAAGTACTGGGAATTGAACCCATATCTTCTGGAAGAACAGCTAGTGCTTTTAACAGCTGAGTCATCTCTCCAGTCCCCAGTTCCATTCTTTACATGTATTCCATCAATACAGGTAAGTCCCATGCTCTAGAATCTTCCTATTGCTCTGTGGTGCTCTGAGTCTCTGTCTACCATCCTATACATCCTCTTGTTTAGGGTCTCTGAGCCTCTTCCCATTCAATGTTCTTGTCAGCAGGGACTAAGGCTGAGCAGTGGTAGGGCCTTCCTGGAACCCAGATCTTTGGAATTAGAGTTCCCCAAGTGCTCTCAATGGAAGGGAAGATAGGGAAGGTGCTGAGGGAGCAGAGTAGGTCAGTGGTGTTGGGCCCACCCCACAGGTTCCTTCTAGAAGGCCTGAGTTTATCTGGAAGGTTTTGCTTTCAGTCCTCTGTGCCTGACTTTCCTCCTCCACAACTACCAACGGCCTCTTCTTTCTGGCTAATATCCTTGACGCTGCTGGACACCAGGCCTGGGGAACCCTTTGTCTCACTATTCCTACCCCAGCTGGGCAATGTCCTCTGAACACAACAAGCTGGGCCCTGGTCTCACTCTGTGCTTGCTGAGTCTCACCAAGGCATCCCTAACCATGTATGCTGGTTGGGATTTTTCACCTTGACACAAACCTAGACTTATCTGGGAAGAGGGAATCTTAGTTAAGAAAATGGCTTCATAAGACTGGCCTGTAGGCAAGTCTGTGTGGAATTTTCTTGACTGATGTGGAAGGCCTGACTAAGGTGAAGAAGTGTTGTAGTAGGCAAGTGAGTGAAGACCAGGGCAGAGGTACAGCAACTGATTGGTCCCTTTCCCTCTGAGCTTGGGATTCACAAGGGGCATGGATGGAGCAGGGTAGGGGTGGGGATGGTATGGTAATTAATTGGGGTTTTAGGATGTTAATGGCTCTCTCCAGAGGAGTACAATTTCACAGCCCTATCAGGGACAGTTTAACTCCTAAAAGAATATAACTCTGGATCAAAAATAGCACTTATGAAAGCAAGGTGTGGTGCATGTACCTGTAATCACAATACTCTAAAGGGTGAGGCAAAGGATGGAGAGGTCTGAGGCCAGTCTTCTATAAAACAAGTTCCAGGAAGTTCCAGGTAAACGTGGATACACAGAGAGAGCCCATCTCAAGATGAGACAGGCAAAGCAACACTCATGGTTCTTCTGCCTGCACCCCTCTCTATTTCCTATTGGCTTTCTCTCAGAGAGGCAGTACAGGAGACATGACTAGGAGAACACCATTCCATGGGGCAAAATTAGAAGGTGGCAAAGGAGAGCCAGAGAGTGAGATTCAGAAGGAGTGGACTCAAAATATAAGTGAGCACAGGAAGAATGAAAACTGAGACGAAAAGAAAACTGGGGGTGGCGGGAGAGTGTGGGAAGGAGGAAGGTGAGCTGAGCTGAACTCCATATTTCAAGGTAAGGGTCAGGAAATACTGAGCAGTGTAGGATGATTTAATGGAAACAGCGGAAGGGAGAGGACAGGTGGTGGGGCGGGGCAGTGCCAATGGTGACCACAACACATGTTCATTTTATATCCTGGTCTGCTGTTAAGATATCTCTGCAAGGGATTCATTTTAGTATCACTGAAATGGGGACAACCTGAGAGGAACATATGATGGACTTCCAGAAGACAGACTGAGGCCAGGAGGCCCTCTGGGGCCCAGCGGGGGAGGGGAGGAGGGAGCTGATTGAGAGGTGCTCCATCTGGTCTCCCAGGCAGCCATTCTTAGGCCTGTGATCCGAGCGTGCACAGGGAGTTTGGATTTCTGCTCACCAAGGTGTCCCTGAGAGCTCATACAGATTGGTGGCCTGGGTGGCTACGACTTACCTTAGACATCTGCCTATGCACAGCCCCACCCAGGTGTGAGAACAGCAAGAGTGAGAAGGGAAGTAAGAGGCCTTACTCTGGTCCCTAGTTTTGTTAGCTGCCCTCGTAGCCAATGAAAGACCCGCAGGCCATTAGCGAGTGCTGCTGTGTTGGGTCCAGTTGGCCAGGCTGGTATAACGTAGACTGCAATTTTTATCCCACTGTATATCCCAGGCTAGCCTCAAACTCGCCACTGCCTCCGTCTGCTGAGCGCTAGGATTACAGGTGTCTACCATCTTGCCCAGAGATCATGGTAATTAATCTCAGCACCACTGATGTTTTGGGCTACTGTTGTTGGTTCTGTGCTTTGGGGGCTGACCTGTTCAGTGCAGGCTATCTAGCATCTCCTTTGACCTCTGCCCGCCGGGTGACTGCAACACCACCCCCTACTGCAAACAATGACAAACGCCTCCCAGCTGAGTCAGATGAGGCCAGTCACACACATCCTTAGACAGTGGGTAAAAGCCTGCAGCACCCCACTGGTACCAGATTACAAAAACTAGGGGCACTCTTCAGTGCCAAGATACACCCCATTCTTGCTATCCACTCGGGACTCTAGAGCCACCCACCTGGGAGAAAGTGGCAAAGTGCAGCAGGTTTGTCGGCTGTGGCTTTTCCCAATTATCACTTCTCTCCATCCCTGCCCCACACCCCCTCATCTCTTCCTTTTATCTAGGCACAGCACAATATTGAAGCTTATACTTGCTTACTCTAGTTCTTGACTGAGAACTACTTCTTTCTTTTTTTTTTTTAACTTTAAAGCTGAAGAAGGCTGGGTGTTGGTGACATCAGCACTTGGGAGGTGGAGTCAGGATGACCTAAGATTCAAGGTCATCATCACCTAAGTAGTGAGTTTGACCTTACATGTGACCCTGTCTCACAAAACAAAACAAAACAAAGCAAAGAAAGTTTTTAAAAAACGCAAAGTAATGGATTTCATGATGGGATTTTCATGCATATTTCAGAAGTCTACTTTGGTGACGCTAAATACTGTCCAGGGCCTAGTGTGTGCTAAGCAGGTACTCAAGCTAAACCTTAGCCCCAAGTCTAATGCTTTCTTAAAAATAGAATAAGATGGCAGCATACGAGCTGCTTTATGCATGTATATTTTTGTTGTTGTTACTTGTCTTTATTTTTTGTGACCGTGTTTTGAGATGGGATTTGTCTATGTAGCCTTGGATGGCCTAGAATTCTCTGTGTAGACCAGATTGGCCTATGATTCACAAGGATCCACTTGCTTCTGTTTCCTGAATGCTGGGATTAAAGGTGTGTTCCATCATGGTTCTTGATTCATACTTGAGTCCTAGAGCTTTCTAGAAGAAACAAACCCTACCTGCTAGCCTGGAACCTTTCCGGTGGGTATAGATGTGGTCCCAGAGAGGTGGACCAGGTTCCTGCTCTCCAGAAACTGCCTGTGTGATTGTTCTATTTGCTTTCCTCCTTCCCTGGACTCTTCCTCATCCTGGGCACAAGAAGTAAGGCCCTTCTTGTCCCCTCCTCGATGGCACTAACCTAGGTTTGTATCTCAGTCGGAATCCTCCCCATCCCACACGGCGGTCCAGCCCCCAGCCCGCATGGACACTTACTATTTGGCAGAATCGTTGAGCTGATACTCCCGAGATCGGTTGAAGCACTCCTGGATCCCAGAGTCACCCCAGAGTCGCATCATGGCAGAAAGCAGTTCTGCAGAGAACGGTTCAGTGTCTTCCATACGGCTCACCACATCACACACCATCTTGGAGTCCGCCTGCATGGACAGAGGGACACACTGCTCTGAGATCTTGGGGCTTCTGATGTAGTCTCTACCAGGACAGCAGGCCGATGCCAAATGGACCTGCTCATCATCTGGAAAGGCAAGACAATGCCCTTCCGGGGAGGCAGCCCTTCTGGGGAGGCATCAGGAGTAGCGTGAAGCCTATCTAAAATGTGGGTTGCTACAACAGTCCCTACGGTCACTGCCCATCACACTGAGAGTGTTTCCCTTTATAATGAACCCTACCGGATTCCTTTCTAAAAGTTACTATTTTACGTGTAAAGGTGTTTTGCCTGCATGTATATCTGCACCATGAGCATGCTTGGTGCCTGCGGAGGTCAGAAGACGGCATTAGATCCCCTGGAAGAACAGCCAGTGCTCCTAAGCGCTGAGCCATCTTTCCAGGCCCCATGTCTTGTATACTGTACTCTGGGAGCCTCATTTGAGTTCTTTCAACAGAGGGAAATTCAGATAACAGGAACTTCCTTTGGCTCACAGAATGACATGGGGGTGGCAGTGTGTGGATTCACAGAGAGGCCTTGCCTGCTTTGGTTGGTTGCAGTGAGCCTCTGCCATCACCACCAATGTGCCTGGGCTCCCATTCACCCCAGTAGAGAACTTGGGATACATGTTTAGAGTTGAGCCCAAAGAGGGTCCCTGAGCCAAGTAGCTGACTTTAGGGGGAGGGTTAGTCCACGTGTCACTGTGGCTCTTGGCAACATAGAACTTATGGGTATTAGTCAGGGCTACAGAGATTAAGGGACCCAGGGCCACCACTTCCCTGCTTCTTTCTCAAGGTTGTATTCTGAGAGGTCTTAGGGGATAAGCTTATTCCATTTGAAAAACCCTGGCCTAACAATACATGTCACTAGAGGGCCAATGGAAGGAGCAGTGCAGGGTCAGAATGGGAGCTAATCGGTTCAGCTAGGCTGTGTAGACTGTCCAGAACCTTGCCCTTATTTTAAGCTGCACAGTTCTGCTTTGAGCCCTTCCAACAGCAGCCTACCAAAGCCAGTGGCTAGTTCAGAAATAAGCGGGAGGTGCTGTTGGCAGCAGGCATCCTCTGAGGTGCGGGGAGACGCAGCAGGTACACGCCCGGAGGGTTTACAGCAAACAAAGGTTCCACACAAAGGCTACCTGGAGACTTTTCCAGAGGCCTGCTCTCTGACTAGGTGGCTATATACTTGTTACAGCCTGTCCACTGCCAAAGGTTTATGGGAAAGTTGTCAGCTATGCTCTCCCCACTGCCTACTCCAGGAAGGAAGTGACCCTGGCAGGAAGCTAGAAGGCCATGCCTACTACGCTAATCCAGACCCTGCTCTTTGAGAATAGTGTTCCAAACACCTGGGCCCCTGGGTTTCTAAGTTGCCTCACCTGACAGGGAGGGTTGCCCAACTAAGGCAGCCTGGTTTCCCAGGGTCTGGAAAAGTGGGTGAGTCTGGACTTTTGGTGCCCCAGGCAGCCAGAATGACTCAAGAAGGGGTAGGTGGAGAAGGGGGAAGTCAGCCTCCACCTGCAGCTAAAAACAGCTACGGGACCTGTGAGTCAGGGCCGTGCTTCTGCTTGCTTCCTCTACCTGGCCTGGCTGCCCTTAGGGCATCTCGAGTTCTCTGGGTTTGTCTTTCCAGCTGTGGGAAGTAGCCAGCTGACCTATCTAGAGTTTGCTGACTTACTCAACTCCCATGTCCCTAAGATCTGGTCAGTTCTGGGCCGTGACAGACCCAGAGCAGGGTGGGATTCAGGGTTCATGGTGCAGGACAGGCAAAGCTTTGGGGGCCAGAATCCTGCTCCAATCAGAGTGTCCAGATGACACAGAGGATGTCAAGGGTGCTCAGTGACTGTGTGGAGATAAACTGTGGGCCCCCACGAGACCACTTTGTCCCTAGATGTGAGACATGGAATTTTATGGTTTCTATCCTGGAAGGCTTGCTTGAAGAGCTGTGCGGGATGTGGTCCTGGGGTTCTCGACACACATCTTTCCATGAAAGCTGAGAGGGAGGGAGCCCATGCTAGTCCCCGTCTGCCCCTGTCTCGTAACCTCTCCCCTAGATGTGTGACATGACCACGCATGCTGTTCACCTGGCAGAAAATCCAGACTGAGGTCACAGACGGCGACTCCCATTCCTTCCCCGTGTCCTCAGTCTGGCTTCTCTGCAGTCTGTGTACCACACAGTCGGAGATCCTTAATCTCCCAACACCAGGACTCCCTTCTTCTTTTTTTCCCTTTTTTAAAATTAATTAATTAATCTATTTATTTATTAAAGATTTCTGTCTCTTCCCCGCCACCGCCTCCCCTTTCCCTCCCCCTCCCCCAATCAAGTCCCCCTCCCTCGTCAGCCCAAAGAGCAATCAGGGTTCCCTGCCCTGTGGGAAGTCCAAGGACCACCCACCTCCATCCAGGTCTAGTAAGGTGAGCATCCAAACTGCCTAGGCTCCCACAAAGCCAGTATGTGCAGTAGGATCAAAAACCCATTGCCATTGTTCTTAAGTTCTCAGTAGTCCTCCTTCTTCTTTAGAAAAAAAAAAAAGCCCAAAATTTTAGCTGGGCACAATGGCATACAACTAAAAAAGGCTGTGCATCTTAATAATTTAAGTAGTTAGGGTGATCACTGACAAATCACACAAAAGATGTAGGCTCAAGTGTAACAAGGAAATAGTTTAAAGGGAAGATGCAGGGCCAATGAGGCGGTTTAGTGGTAAAGGCTCAATCCTGACAATCTGAGTTTGACTTCTGGGACCCACACTGTGGAAGGGGATTCCTACCCACTGTTTTTTGATTTCCACACACACGATTAAGCCCCCCTTCCTGGCACACAAAATAAATAAGTAAATAAACAAAAAGACAATACCCATGAGGCTGAGGATATAGCTTAGCGGCAAAATGCTTGACTAGCTACCATGAGACCCGAGTTCAATTCCTATCACTGCATATGAATGAATGAATGCTTGCATGAATAAAGGGATGCCTTGTTTCTCAACCCCCCTTCTCCTTCCTATTGCTCAGAACTTAGCTCCAGCAGCTGGATTGGTTCATCACTTAGGGATGGTGGAACAATGACCTGAAAACAGCTCAGGTCCTGGACAACGACATGCAAGTGTGCTATCCAGAGTTGTGCTAACATGAATTCAACTGTTCAGTTATTGATTTTTTTTATTGTTTTTATTGAGCTATATATTTTTCTCTGCTTACTTCTTTATTTTAAAGCATACGATTTCTATCATATTTAAACAACTGTTTTCAGAACATTCACAGTCAAACCTAATGTGAATGGTTCCAATAACCTGTTTCCCATTGTTCCTACGTTCAGGAATCATGACCATGTCCCACTAAGCCCAGCTACCTGTTTTCAGACTACTCGGATGGGGCCTGTCACACACAGTCCTCTCCTCCCATCAGGCGCTCCATTTGTGTAAGGTACTTTTGCTCTGGCCATGCCTACCTTGAATATCCCTCAACCATCCTGTGTTGTGTCTGGTGCTAAATGTGCCTGTATCTTGGGGCAGGGTGATCTCTTGACTTCTCGTGGTGCCCTGGAGCTCACACAGTGCCTACATACAGCTGTTGTCAATCTTAAGTGAAGGCTCTTTTACATTTTAACATCAGACTGGGCCCTAGCATGGATTATGTTACAGCTGACAGCCCAGGACTCACATCTCAGACATAGTCAGGTCACCAGAGGTCAAAGCTGAGGCCATATTGGTGCCTAGTCCTCACCCCTGAGCACAGTCTTGGTGAGCAAGAGAAGCTTCACGAACATTACTGGAAGTCTGTGGAGGGCACCAAGCAATTATGAGGGAGAGTCCGTCCTGTCCTTTGCCAACTGCCCTCAAGCCTGGGGAATGGGGCTCACCCCGACCTTGACCTTTCTGTCTAGGCCTTCTCCCAAGCCAGAGGTGCAGCTCACATTCCAGCACCCACTTTTCCAATATGGCTCCACAGCAGTCTGCCCCCTGCTGTTCACAGGGTGCAATATGAGATCTGGCAGAGCATGGGCCTGTCCTTGGGGTAGATATCCTTGCTCCGTGTACAGTCCTGGATGGGTGGGTCTCCCTTGGTCTCGACCTGGGCTCCCCGTGTAAGCAGAGGTCCAGTGTCCGTGCTATGAATGGGGGATGACACAGGGTCATCACGTAAAACAACAGGACACAGCACTGGATGGCAGCTGTGCTAGCATCTACCCAGTGGAGAGCATGCTCTCTCCCACCCCTCTAGCTGCTGTGGCCACACAGCAGTGCAAAGGACAACTACAGTGACAGCAGTGACAGGGCTGAAGCACAGCTGGGACTGCAGGTCTCAATGTCAACAGTCGAGCTCTGTTCTTACATATTCAGGATCATAAGGCTAGGAGAAGAGAAGCTGTGACTTGTAAATGTCAACCAGCAAGATACCTTTCTTCCTTTTCCCTCCCTCCCTCCCTCCCTCCCTCCCTCCCTCCCTCCCTCCCTCCCTCCCTCCCTTCTGTTTAAAATCACATCAATGACCAAGAAATGGCATGGGCATTCTTACTGTTTTAAAAGGCATAGCCTTTCTGGTTAAATGGATCTTAGTCCTAATGCAGACAGGCATTATCCACTCAGGGTGGATAAGAATCACTATGGAGAACCCCAGGGCTCTAGAAAACCCCTTGTGTAGCCCTGTGCATGGCATCTAGGATGGCAGGAGGTGGAGGAGCAGCTTGGCCTAGATCCCCAGAAGCAGGCTGCCTTAAGCCCTTGCTGGGGAGCAGAGATGTCCAGGATGGTATTAGGGTAGTGATGTCTGGTGTGGGACAATTGTCTGTATTCTGTCAATTATGTTTTAAATAAACACCGATTGGTCAGTAGCCAGGCAGGAAGTATAGGCAGAACAACCAGACAGGAAATAGAGGCAGGTCAAGGAGAACAGGAGAATTCTGGGAAGAGGATTCTGCTTTCTGCAGTCCTGTCCCAGCCGCAAAAGAAGCAAGATGTGACTGCCCTACTAATAAAGTGCATGTGGCTAACACAGATAAGAA